AAATATATCTCGGCCATACAATTTTTCTTATGTTTATGTATCTGTAATACATTTTTGAGTATATATATATATATATATATATATATATATATATATATATATATATGATACATTATATTATAGATAGTCATATATTAGACTTTATTATTTAATTATTGCTTTTGTTTTTCTTGCTGTTCTTTCTTTTTTCTCTTCATCGATCTTTTCTCTTTGTCCTTGCAGGCATTCAGCCGGGCACATCGTATCGGGCAAAATAAAAAGGTGATGATCTATCGCTTTGTAACTCGGGCATCCGTAGAGGAGCGTATTACCCAGGTGGCCAAGCGAAAGATGATGCTGACCCACCTGGTGGTGCGCCCTGGCTTGGGCTCTAAGACGGGCTCCATGTCCAAACAGGAACTTGACGACATCCTCAAGTTTGGCACTGAGGAGCTGTTTAAAGACGATGTGGAAGCCGCCAGAACAATGGGTTAGCTGAAGTGGTTTAAGATAAACATTACGGCACTTTGCTTGTGGATTTTGTGGATTCCAGTAGTTCATGTCCTAAATCTCTTCTGCAGGAGATAATAAAGAAGGAGAGGAGGGCAGTGTGATCCACTATGATGATAACGCCATTTCCAAACTGCTGGACCGTAGCCGGGATGCCACCGAAGACACAGAGATCCAGAACATGAACGAGTACCTGAGCTCATTTAAGGTGGCTCAGTATGTGGTGAGAGAGGAGGATGGAGAGGTGAGATACAGATGCTTTGCTGTCTGTTTCTCATGCCTCTTTTTATTAAACAAGGGATGAAAATGAATGCTGGTCAATCCTTTGAAAGTGACTACCTTAGAAATGCTTTATTTCTTTTAGTCTTCTATGCTCAAGAGGGCATAGTTGTGCAAGTTGCAGCTTCTTTCACAAAAGCTTCGTATTGTGTGGAGGGGCAGCATCAATGTGGCTTTGTTCACATTTTTGACATTTTATAAAAAGTTTTCATTAAAATTCTGACCTGATGCATACACTACCACATCAAAATTTTGGGGTCACTTAGATTTTTTTTTTAAAGACTTTAATACCTTTACTTGGAAAGGTTGCAGTAAATTGATCAAAATTAGCAATACATATATTTATAATGTTACAAAAGATTTATATTTGATAAATATAAATTATGTTATATAATAAATTATGTTCTTCTGAACCCTATTCATAAAAGTATTCTGGAAAAGTATCCTGTTTTCAGCATTGATAATAAGAAATGTTTGTTGAGCAGCAAGTCAGCATATTAGAAAGATTTCTGAAGGATCATGTGACACTGAAGACTGAAGAAATGGCTGCTGAAAATTCAGCTTTGCCATCACAGGAATAAATTACATTTTAAAATATTTCACAATATTTCAGAGTGGTAATGTATGTAATTTCATAAAAAGCACACAACATTTGTAGCTGTGTTTGAATGCACTCATTTTCATTCTCTTTTTCTTTTTTGTGACATTCACTATGCAGTGAATGATGAGTGAGTGTTAGCGGTTTTGGACATGAATGTGTAGAAAGTAATTTTTTTCTCTCATGCTCCTGTAGGGAGATGTCATGATAGACATGGGCAAAAGCAAAATTTTCAGTTTTCCATCCCCATTTCACACTGACAGATACTCTCAGTATGAGAAAATCTCCTGGGATCATGCTGATGCTTACATCATTATTATAGCAACCCATGTAGATGCACAGCTATCTGAAGAAGCGGATCAGATTTCAGCAATAGCAAAATGACAGACAATAAGTCCTAAAGATCAGAATGTGTGGATTTGCTACAATGGTCAAAGTATTAGGGTCCTCTCTATATGTATCATGATAACGCTGTACTATGCTTTGAAGTACCTTGGAGTACCATGGTATATGAATATGGTAATGATTCAGTATAATGGTACATATCAAATTATTATTTTGATAATATCACTGGTACCACCGCAGTCCTTTTCTGTGTTGGAACAAAAACCTGCATTATGAAGGGAAAGCTTCATCCAGCTTCAAAATGGGACTAAATAATTACAAAAAAAATATATATATATATTATCTCATATACAAATACCAAATGTTTAGGATTATTGTTAGTAAACAATAAATATAATAAGATTAATTGAAGTCGATAATAGGCCTGTGATAAATTATCTGTATTTGTGTGTGTGTGTGTGTGTGTGTGTGTGTGTTCCTGCAGGAGGAGGTCCAGAGGGAGATTATTAAGCAGGAAGAGAATGTTGATCCAGACTACTGGGAGAAGCTCTTGAGGCACCATTACGAGCAGCAGCAGGAGGATCTGGCCCGGAACCTGGGCAAAGGGAAACGTATCCGCAAACAGGTCAACTATAATGATGCCTCTCAGGAGGACCAAGGTACCCAAACACAGATGCTGACAGTGCTATAACTCAGTGTAAAACTGTGTATATGAGTATATCTGAGTTTACAAGCATTCTCTCTCAATCCTGTTCTCAGAGTGGCAGGATGATCTTTCAGATAATCAGTCTGAGTACTCTGTTGGGTCCGAGGATGAGGATGAAGATTTTGAGGAACGTCCTGAAGGTAGGCGTCTTTATACATATATATATATATTATATATATATACACATATACATATACACACACACACACACACACACACACACACACACTACTGTTTAAAACTTTGGGGTCAATATGATATGTATATGTGTGTATATATATATATATATATAAATACATTCATAAATTAATACTTATATTCATCAAGGATGCATTAAATTATAATGTTATAAAAGATTTCTATTTAAGCTATTTTTTTCTCAATTAATTTAATTTATATATTAGAGTAAATAAAAGCATTATAATCGAATATACGTAGATAGATAGATAGATATATAGACAGACAGACAGACAGACAGACAGATAGATAGATAGATAGATATTTAAGTTATTTAATATTTTGAATTGCTTCTTTATATTAACGAAAATACAAAATACATTTTGAAAAGCTAAAATAAAAGAGGTTAATCAAAGAATCCTAAAAAAAAAAAGTATCACAGTTTCCACAAAACTATTAAGCAGCACAACTGTTTTCAACTTTGATATTAAGAAATGTTTTCTTGAGCAGCAAATCAGCATATTAGAATGATTTCTTAAGGATCATGTGACAATGAAGACTGGAGTAATGGCTGCTGAAAATTCAGCTTTGCATCACAGGAATAAATTACATTTTAAAATATACTCAAATAGACAACAGCTATTTTAAATTTATTTCACATTTTTATGAAATAAGTGTAGCCTTGATGAGCATAAGAGACTTTTTTCAAAAACATAAAAAAATCTTATTGACTTTCATCATACTTGGTATGCACCTAAATGAGTTCCTCTTCCTCCAGGAGGACGCAGACAATCTCGAAGACAGTTGAAGAGCGAGCGGGACAAACCATTGCCGCCGTTGCTGGCTAGAGTTAGTGGTAATATAGAGGTAAATCTTCTTATAATTTTATGAAAAGAGGGAGTTTGTGCATAATTCCTTTCTTCAGGTGAAGCTTTGGCTGTTTACCTTGGGGATTTCAGGTTTTGGGATTTAACGCCCGGCAGCGGAAAGCCTTCCTGAATGCGATTATGCGCTGGGGTATGCCCCCACAAGATGCTTTCAACTCTCACTGGCTGGTCCGTGACCTGCGAGGGAAAAGTGAGAAGGAGTTCAGGTATGTGCATGTGTCTCTCTGTAATAGTTTCTTCATATATACTGTATATATATATATATATATATATTTTACATTTTCATTCGTTGGTCTTTGGTTCTGTGTGTTTTTCAGGGCTTATGTATCTCTGTTCATGAGGCACCTGTGTGAGCCAGGGGCAGATGGAGCAGAAACATTTGCAGATGGGGTCCCGAGGGAAGGCCTGTCCCGCCAACATGTTCTCACCCGGATTGGTGTCATGTCTCTGGTCCGCAAGAAGGTGGTGAATTACTTACTGCATTTTATGTGAAAAGGTTTTTAACTTGATAGATATAAAGATCTAACTTGAAGTTGATTTTTTTATTTGTGAATAATTTAAATTATTTTCTTTAACATTCTACAGCATTATTTACTTTAATGTGGATTTTAACCCAGATTTTTATTTTGAAAGTTTCTAGCAGTGAACATAGAATAAGCAAATTAAACAGGATATAAATCATATATATATATATATATATATGTACTGTATATATATATATATATATATATATATATATAAAGATATATATTTATATATAAACAAAAACTCTGTACTGAAATTTCCTCTTTAATGTTGTGTATATAGGTTCAGGAGTTTGAGCATGTGAATGGGAAGTTTAGTACACCAGATTTGATTCCTGTAGGATTGGAGCTGAAAAAACTTACTGAAAGTGTGTCGTCGGACCCCAACACACCTGTTCCTGCCAGTCCGGTTCCGACTCAACCCAGCACACCTGTTCCTTTAGGTGTGTGAAAGTGTGTGTGTGTACTACACAATGAAACCCTGGTTGTTTGTGGATAACTGGACTGTTACATTTGTTTTTACAGAAAAGACAGAGTCAGTGTCTTGTTCTCAAGAAGACAAGGACATTACAGAACCAGAGAGCACCAAATCGCTGGACCCTGAGGTCAGACTGAAGTCATCCAGAAATATCTCTCTTGTCTTTTATTTCTCTTATCCTTATTAAAATCTCTCTTCTCACAGCAGCCAGTTATGCCAGAACCCTCCCCTGCCCCAGAGAAAGCTAATGATGAAGAAGAACCAAAAAGCGGAAGTCCTGAAGGAAAAGGAATGGAAGAGAGCGAGAAGAATGATACCCCTTCTGTCCATTCAGAGCCATCGTCCAATCAAGCACAGCCACCCACAAAACCTAGTGAGCAGACAGCCAATCAGACACCATTAGGTGAGGGTTTTTCACTAAGCGTATAATGATTCTACAAAACATTTCTCTCAATAAACAAAATATTAAAATATTTTGTTTATTCAAGACTGTGGTAAAGGGAAAGAAACTTCTCCGGAGAGAGGGGAAAATAAAGCCAGCCCAGCAAAAATAGATGATAAGGAGCAAAAACCAGGTCAGCATTCATGGTATTTGTTTATAAAACTTCCAAAAACAGAATAAAAGGGGTGGCCGAGATTCCAGATCCATTTATCTTCAAATTGGCATCTTAAAACACACTTTCCACTAAATGGATACAAAATAACGCCTGAAACTCTTTTTCAACAAATGGTCAGTAAAAGTAGGTGCTTAACCTGAAAATATATATATATTTTTTTTTTTTGTTTTTACTTTTTTATGTTATGTTTTATGTTTAATTTTTATGAAACCCTGTTACCAAAGAATGTTTAAATATAAATGATTTGTGTGATTTTTGTATTTTTCTGGCATTAAAAATTAAAACAGACATCCAAATTTAATAGACAGCATTCAGAAAATAAATATAAATTTGATAAATATATATATATCTTTAGATGAAATGTTTGAGCTTGACACATGCAGTCAACACTAAAATTTGTGTAAAAATTGGAATGAGATTTCGGTCAGTTTAGTAATTCTCACAACTAAAGGATTTGATCCATAAGGCTTAAAAAATGAATTGAACAGCCTTATTCTCTGCGTTTGCCAAACTATGTAGTTTCTGCAGCCATTCCTGATGATTTAAAATCTGAAGACCCCCATGAGAACCAATTGAATGGAGAGAAAGACGCGAGGGATGACACGGACGAGAGCCACAGAGATGACAAGAACAGCATCAAGACCCGGTTCATGTTTAACATCGCAGATGGTGGATTCACTGGTGAGTTGTAGTCTTATTGACGTCGTTCTGATTTGTTGTCTCGCTTCGATGGGCATCAACGCATGCACACATACTGTATCATGGACAGCAGATTCAAAATTCTGTGTGAATGATAGCAGAGATACAGAGTGTTTATATGTGTTCAGAATTACACACGCTGTGGCAAAACGAGGAACGTGCAGCTGTATCATCTGGCAAAATGTACGACATCTGGCACCGTCGCCATGACTACTGGCTGCTGGCTGGCATTGTAACGTATCCTCACTGTTCTTTCCATGGCACATTTGAGCTGTTTTATTATTCCTTTAATAATATCTCTTATCGTTTTTTTTTTTCTGTTGGTTTTGTTCTTTCTTTTCTTTCCTTTTGATTTATTTTTTCTTTCGGACCTTCATGTAGTTGTGAACATAAATGAGTGTGATGTGCCAGTTTGAATAAATGGAATTAGGAATTAGAACTGCATCATTTCATTTCATTCATATAAGTTACACTACTGTTCAAAAGTTTGGGGTAGGTAAGATTTTTTTAATATTTTTAAAAGAAGTCTTTTATGCTCCAAGGCTGCATTTATTTGATCAAAAAACAAAAACAAAACAGTAATATTATGAAATATTATTACAATTTGAAAGAACAGTTAATTAGTGAAAAATTTGTTTTGTCTTTTGTTTCTATGTTAAAATATATTAACATAGAAACAAAAGACAAAACTAATTTTTCAGTAGCCATCATTCCAGTTTTCATTGTCACATGATCCTTCAGATATCATTCTAATATTTTGGTGCTCAAAAACTTTTCTTAACATCAATATTAAATATTCTGTAATTAAATATTAAATAATAAATAATAATTAAATATCAATATTCTACCTACCATTTTTGTGGAAACAGTGATTCTTTGATGAATAGAATGTTCAGAATTTATTTAAAAGAACAGCATTTATTTGCAATATAAATAATTTGTAACATTATAAATGTCTTTACTTTTTGATCAATTCAATGCATCGTTGCTGAAAAAGTATTCATTTTTAATATTCAAAAAAATACTGACCCAAAACATTTTAACAGTAGTGCATTACTTCCTTTTTCGATGTGTGTTTTTTTTTAAATAGTTCACCCAACTTATTCTTTAAAGTGCTGTTCCCTTTCATAGGTTCACTCTACACTGTGAAGTCATCGCTATGGGAACACCTTCTGTGAAGCCCTTATACCATTACGCCATTTTATTGGCCAGTAGCGCTCAGCACCACCCCAAGAAATTCGTCTCATATGCTCATATCAGCATATCGTGCTATGCGCGATTTCATCAGATTTCTTTTCCTTCAGGAAGCGGATTATCTGTTGCCCATAGGAAAGAGTTTTTGTCATGTTCTTTGCTACTTTTCAAAGCTGTTACTCCATCCAATTCGGGAAAGGATAGGGAGATCCCGACTTTGAGTCAAGAGATTTTGTCACTCCTAGAGAAAGGGGCTATAGAAGAAATACCCCCCACTCAGATGGAGTCAGGCTTTTACAGCCATTATTTTGTTGTGCCCAAGAAGGATTGTGGTTTACGTCCGATTTTGGATTTACGCTGCATAAATCTTGGGCTCAGAGTGAGCAAATTCAACATGCTGATGTTAAAATCCATTTTGTCTCATATCCGAACCGGAGATTGGTTTGTGACTATCGATCTAAAGGATGCGTACTTCCACATCCAGATCATCAAGAGTCAAGTCAAGTCAAGTCACCTTTATTTATATAGCGCTTTAAGAGACTCGGGAAGTTCCTCAAGTTCGAGGGCAAAGCTTACCAATACTGTGTTCTTCCGTTTGGACTGGCACTGGCTCCTGAACGTTCACAAAGTGTATGGATGCAGCTCTGGCCCCGTTGCGGCTCCAGGGCTTCCGGATTTTGAATTACCTGTACGATTGGCTGATATTAGCTCAATCACAGTATTAGGTGATAGCTCATCGAGGCTTGGTACTCTGTCATTTGAGGAGCCTAGGATTAAGCGTAAACCTACAGAAGAGTGTGTTGCTGCCACGTCAGCAAACAACTTTTCTGGGCGTGGACTTGGATTCTTGCACAATGCAGGCACATCTGTCTCCTGCACATGTTCAGTCATTACAGACCTCTCTGAGTCAGTTTAGGGCTTCTAGTCCACGTGGGTTTATGCCGCAGACTGATGGGTCTTATGGCAGCAGCGTCCCCTGTGGTTCAGTTGGGCCTGCTCCACATGAGGCCATTCCAGTGGTGGATAAAAATACATAACATTTCACCTCACTGCCACCCATTCCACAGCTATGATGACACGCAGAGGTTTTCATGCTCTGTGGTCTCGTACCTGAATCGTCAAGGGGGACTACATTCTCGACCCCCTGTGCAGATTGGCGAGACATGTCCTTTGGGCACAGACCAAGTTTCTGTCAGTCAGAATGGTTCATGTCCCAGGTTATCTGAACCTGGAAGCGGACCTACTTTTGAGGCAGGTCTTGGAGCCCGGAGAACGGAGGTTACATCCTCAGGTGGTGAGCCTCAAATGGCACAGGTTCGGCCGAGCAGAAGTGGACTTGTTTGCTTCAAGCATGACTGTGCATTGCCCGCTCTGGTTCTCCCTGTCTCCTCCGTTACCTCTGGGAGTAGACGCTCTGGCTCAGGAGTGGCCCAGGACCGGCCCAGAACCAGAGTTATGCCTTCCCACCGATCCATTTGCTCTCAGTGGTTCTGCTCAAAGTACGTTGCTGGTGGCCCCATTCTGGCCCACTCAGATGTGGTTCTTAGACCTGGTCAGTCTACTAGCTGGCCCTCCTTGGGAGGTTCCCCTCAAGCATGACCTGCTGACTCATGCTCATCACCCCTGGTTTCCCGTTTCATGCAAGGGTCGAGACGGCTTTGGCCTTTCCGCCCTGTACAAATTCTTTCATGGGATTTATCTATCTTCCTGGAAGGTCTGGCAGGCCATCCATTTGATCAATTGGAGTCTGTGTCAGAGAAGTTTTTGACCCTGATGACGGTCCTTTTGGTGGCTCTATCCTTTTGCTTCCAGCAGGTGGTCTTGGAGGCTTTTCCCCTTTCTGATGAGGGGACTGGAAGTGATGTGCGACTTCCTAGTCTTTGCCCGGTGAGGATATTGAAAATCTACGTTGACCGCTCAGACCAGTGGCGTAGATCTGACCAATTGTTTGTATGTTTTGGCAGTAAAAACAAGGGAGCTGCTGTCACCTAACAGAGAATGTTTCATTGGGTGTTTGAGGCTATCTCTGCAGCCTATGTCGCGTGGCTTCGCCTCTAGGTGTGCACTAGAGGAATGGCTTCTTCTCAGATATTTGTGCTGCGTCAGGATGGACCTCTTCAAACTTTGATCAAGTTCTACAGACTTGACGTGAGGATGGCTACCAGGTTTTATCTGCTTGAGTGGACTCTTTCCTCGGTCTTCCAGCTATCTTCAGGTACGTGAAGGCCTTATGGAATATTGTTCCCATAGCGATGGCTTCGCAGCATAAAGTGAACCTATGAAAGGGAACGTTTCGGTTGGTTCCCTGAATAGGGAAAGAGACGGTGCGTCGCCGGCCTTTCCCGTGCATCTCAATTTATCCAGAATCGTGCACCTCTATTTTGCACACAAACAGCTCTTAATTTTTGTTCATGGTATTCAGCTGCAACTAAATGTTTTGCAAAATGAGACACAGAATAAATTGTTTGATATTTAAATGTTTTTTTAACCACATTGGAATCAAAACTGGGAATCATTAAGTGGAATCGGAATCGGAATTGGAATTAATAAAATTCAAACGATACACAACCCTAGTAAAATCTTTTCTGTATATGAAGTGAAACCTTAACCAGCTACTCACAGACATGGCTATGCACGGTGGCAGGACATTCAGAATGACCCACGGTATGCCATCCTCAATGAGCCTTTCAAGACTGAAATGCACAAAGGGAACTACTTAGAAATGAAAAATAAATTTCTCGCCAGACGTTTTAAGGTACAAGTTATTATGTGTTTTATTTTAATTAATTAAAGTGATCTTTTATATTCACACATTCTTCATTCACATTTTAGCTCCTGGAACAGGCTTTGGTAATTGAGGAGCAGCTACGGCGCGCTGCATACCTGAATATGACTCAGGATCCCAGTCACCCCGCCATGGCCCTCAACACACGTTTTGCAGAGGTGGAGTGCCTGGCTGAGTCCCACCAGCACCTCTCCAAAGAGTCCCTTGCTGGTAACAAGCCAGCCAATGCTGTGCTGCACAAAGGTGATTTTCTAAAAACATAACAAACAACCTGATGCTTGGAACTGCCCCATGTTGCTTGCTGTTAACCACAGTAGCTTTATAAACCAAACATAAACTAAATGTGCATTACTGTTCAAAAGTTTGGGGTTGGTAAGATTTGTTAATGTTTTTGAGAGAACTGTCTTATGCTCACCAAGGCTGCATTTATTTGAACTACAGTAAAAACAATAATACTGCAAAATATTACAGGTTAAAATAACTGTTTTCTATTTTAAAATGTTATTTATTCCTGTGATGGCAAAACTGAATTTTCAGCAGCCATTACTTCAGCCTTCAGTGTTACAAGATCCTTCAGATATCATTCTAATATGCTGATTTGCTGCTGAAGAAACATTTCTTATTATTATCAATGTTGTTTTTTTTTGTAGCATTCTTTTATAGCATTGAAAAAAAGCTTTTAGTTGAGAAATATTTTTTAACATAAATGTCATTTTTTCACTTTTTATCATTTTCATGTATCCTTGCTGAATAAAAGTATTAATTTCTTTCAAAAACAAAACAACAAAAACCTACTTGGGCGTGTTTAAACTATCCATTTTTATGTTCACTGGTGTTGTTTTAGTGTTGAATCAACTGGAGGAGCTGTTAAGTGATATGAAGGCTGACGTGACACGGTTGCCCTCCATGCTTTCGAGGGTCCCACCCATCTCTGCCCGGCTCCAGATGTCAGAGCGGGGCATCCTCAGCAGGCTGACCAGCTGGGGCAACGAGCCGCCACCTCAGCAGGTCAGCATGACATGTCTTTTGCCATATGTGTAGTCCATGTAAGATGAATAATAGATGAGCCTCATGTGGATGAACCTTCATGTAAGAATATTTTGTTTCATCTCCTTTCAGCCTTTCCCTCAGGGCTCTTTCGGCTGTTCTCAGATGTATAATAGCAGTTTCGCCAGAGGGTTCCGTGGACCTGGAGGCACTGCGATGGTGAACTACAGCCAGATGCCCCTGGGGCCGTACGTCAGTGGTTAGTGGCCTACATTAGCCTTGAAATGAAGAGCACGTAATAAATTCCTATTGATAGTTTCCACGTGACGTCACTCCCTTATAGGAACGCCCACCTGGAGGGCAAAACGAAAGGCAAAATTCAGTAAACACCTTATTGATTATGTATATTTTGTACAGGCAAGCAGATGAAGCCAGAATATAAATGCAATGTGCAAAGTTTCACCTTAAATGGTTTCCCATAGAAAACCATTAGAAGGAAAACACTGAACCATTAAGCGGATTGCATTCATATTCCGGCCTCATCTGCTTGCCTAATGCCTATGTAATCTATGAATCATTAATATAGAGAATATTACTGTTTTTAAATATATTAAGGCACTTTAAATGTTTTTACAAAGTTTTGTCACACTGTTTAATGATTTAAATATTGCCGCGGGTGCTTAATATGGATTGCAAATGGCCAAAACTTGCATTTTGTTCACATACCTTTGTTTTATTCTTTTGAGAGGTGATCTAAATATTTGCGGCGTTGAAACAGATGGAAAATTGACAGGCTTGTTCTGCAGTTCTATGGATGTGTTGCCCTCCAGGTCTTCGAGCCGGTCACGTGACTGAAAGCTATGAATTGCATCAATTCTGTCCAAGAAACGCCCACTTAGAAAGGAAGAGTCCACCTGAACAACATTTAAATCAACCAGCCACAGTTAGACTAGTGCATAAATATCTACATTAATATCTAGTTTGCTACCAAATGAACTTTTGCAAATTCAGTGAATAGTCTTTTTAGTTATTGTAAGCTAAAACAAAAACTACTGAAAGAAATGAAATAAAATTAAACAAAAATAACTAATTGAAATAAGTTGAAGTACTAAAGGTACCAAAACTGAAATAAAAATTAAAGCTATATAGAAATAAAAATGACAAGCACATAACAAAATCACTAAAATGTAAACCAAAATATGAAGGTAATAAAGATAAACTAATTCAAAATATTAATAAATTCTGTAATAGTACATATACAGTATATAAATAATACTAAAATAACACAAGCAGTCTTGTTTGTGTTCAGTCTAGGGAAAGCAGTGTGAGAACAAGACGTATCCACTGAGAAAGTAATTAAATATGGAAATATAATGCTGCTGTTCTATAATGCTTCTTTTTAGTGTCCTCAAACGGACCGCCGGCCCCAACCAGCCACCTGGAGAAGAAGTCCAGCGATGCTCTGCGAGATGTGGCCACCCCTGATCTGAAATCAGGCAAACCTAGCGATGTTATATGCATTGAGGACTAGCCCGCAGCTGTTCCGTCCTCTTTCTATACAATACCTACAGACAAAACCGTGGAGAACTATAATTTGAAATATTATTCTTATATCATGGCTTGTTTTTCTTGATGGCCATGAAGAACATTTTCATCTCTGCTAACGTTGAGCCATCTGGAGGTGCAACTAGTTCCTGGCCAGTTCAAGGGCCAGATGTCCCACCTCTACAGCCTGTGCTTTTCTCCTGGCTCTGCTCATGGATTGCGTATTGTTGCTGCCCCTGCAGGTTATTGCTGTGTAGTGCACCTAAACACAGAATAGTGCAATGACTATAATTTTCTCTGGAAAACTTCAGATAATTTTACAGTTTGCCAGCACTAATGTTTGATATTTGAATTGTACTGGATTGTTTTTAGTTTACATTCCCCTTTAAAAAGAAAAAGAGTGTTGTCCCTGAAGGTTTAAAGGTGCTTTCAGTATTTTTTATTTTAAAAAGTTCTGAGACATTTAAAACAGTGTACAATTAAAATTGGCAGTAGCCTAAGAAAAAGCTTATTTACATAGAGTCGGGCTGCCTCTTGTTAGATCACATGACGTACTAAATAATACTCACTAAACAAAAATTACCGATTGCACCTTTAAAGGACAGAGCAGTATTAAATCAATGGCAAATGGAATGTTTCATGAGCTAATACTTTGAAAATCTTGGAATGTTTCATTTTAAATGCAACGTGAACTCTATTCACATAATCTGGCAAGCTGTTGAATACCACAAAAAAATATCCCTCGGTTTGTAAAAAACAGAACAAAATGCATTCATAATCATTCATTTGCAGAGGAAATGAACGGAGCAAACGCTGCCCACAATTTCGTATGTCTGGAAATTTTTGGTAACTTAAAGCAGTCTCACAATTTATATATTCAGTTGTTTTATGTAAATTCCATTTAATTTAAATTTAATTTTTAAATGTTTACATTTATAAATGTATGTCATGCAGGTGCTTCAACACAATACAAGTTTCACATTTCTGGTACAATGCATCTATGTTTGATTTTACAAAGTGAGGGACAAGCCGAAATTATATATTATATACTATTATTATTTTATATTCATGCTATCAACAGCATGTCTGGAATATTTCTGTTTTTAATTTCTGGAACAAAGTAAATTCTGCTCCACAGGGATATTTGTGCATTGTTTCTACCATTTTCCTCACATTCAGATGCTTTTAATTTGTAAACTTAATTCTCCACATTTTGTATTATCACATCCTTTTGTCAGATGCATTTTGCTTGACATTTTGTGAATTGCTGAGAACTTGGACCCTAATTGCTCCGGTTTTACTAAGCCGAGCTTATGGATAGTATTGACATGATTGTTCTGGTGCCATAAGTTGTGTGGATATGGATTGTTTTTGTTTCAATTTGAAATATGCCTTGTGTAACTTTTTAAGCAGCGCACTTTAAATGGAGACCAGATGTTACCATAGAGACGGCATCTGCTATGGGCCATTTCAAACACAGTAGAAACCTCTTTCAATAACTCGTATACTCAGTTTCAGTCTGTGGTATTAGTCATGTTAATGTAGATGGAGTATTTGGTTTGTTTTCTGCATCTCAGCAACGTAAATGGCACTTAAGTGTCATGGCTGACCGTAAACGTGATCATAGCTTCTTTTGCAGTAGATTTGACTTGAGGGGTTCAAAATTATCATTTGTGTAAACCACAAATGTGGGGGGAAAAAAAAAAAAAAAAAAAAAAAAAAAAAAGTTCACACGCACACTTGAAACACAAAGACAGCCTCAAGAGCCAAGGGACCTTAAACCCAAGGTTATAAAGAAAGAGCCAGCAGCATAAAATGTGTTGTGAAATGAAGTTTTGTTTTAATCCCGTGTGATGATTTACACCATTTCACTTGTACTTTATCACAATATTGATATTAAGCTCCATTTAAAATGCAATCAAACTGAAGCCAAAATGAGTGTATTTAGTATTTAAAAAGCTTCAGTCTAATATTAGAAGTCTTTTCATTCAAGTACAAACTAGGCTTCAAAAGCTACCAAAAGACCCAGGTTGACACCTTGGTGTCAATTAACATGATAGATGTCATCATATTACTTGGGACCAGAGTGCTCTTTCTCCTGGTTTTTAAACAGCTACGAGAAACAGTAAACAGCTGTTTTGCAGAGATAAGAACGTGGGAAAACAGATAAGTGAATTACCATCATTTCACTTTGTACTCCGTGTATTGTTTAATGCGTTTTAATAAATCCTCTAAAATGTCCCCCCCCAATGTCTGCTTCCAATTTAGATGTAGAACCCTGTGGGGAACAAATTAATGAAAACCAAAGTCAAGTTTTTGCATTGTGTGGTTCTGAAGGGTTCTAGAAAAGGTGGGAACGGCAGTGCTAGATTGTCATCATCTTAACGCAAGTAATAGATGTTGATCACTTGATTTCAGAAATTAGTGAACTTTAGAAATTGTCATTTGTAGAAAAGTCACCTGCACATGTAAAATGATAAAAACAGTGAACATACCACAAGCACATTAAAGTTATTTATTTGGTTTCAAAAAGCAAACATTAAACCATGAAAGACGGTTACGCAGCTATGAATTCACTTGTTGCAAACGCCTCCACACACCTGAAGACAAACTCTTGCTTTGAGTAGGTTGGGAACGCAGTGGTGCTGGATCCTCAAAGCCAGGTTAAAGAGACTGCAGAGACTCATAGCCTGAAGGAATAAACACATTACTAGGTTGCTCCAGGGGTTGGGAACAAAGAACAGAAAGAGACTGGAAACTTGATTTCTGGCATAGAGAGCTGAAAACCAGTGTCAACCAGTTGAGATGTGTGCTTATAAGTTGGTGCCTGAAACCTGGAGTGCACTAACTGGTAGCTGGCTTGTGCTGACTGCAGGCCGCTGGGCTTGGACAGCCTGGTACCTGGTTTGTGCGGACCACGACTTGAACTCAGGATGGGCCGGTCACCAGAAAATAGTTCGGAACCAACTTGAAGTCTACTTCTCTGGAGCTTGACAAAGGATTGGGCATTAGCCAACTGTTGACCACTGGACTGGGAGCAGACTCTTTTCTAGTCTGCACTACAGTTTGATAGTTAAGCTGTGCTGGCTTGGGTACAGTTTTACGTCTCACACTTGTACTTAATGCAGTGGCTAGAGAAACGGAAACAAAACTGCCACCTGAAGATATCAGAGCCTGGGTTTTGCCTTCCAACATCAGATTCAGAACCGATGTTATATACACACACTTGTCACTGGACCAGAGCCATAGGAGCCAGTTTGAGGGCTATAGCACACACACACCACACACACACACCACACCAACCACACCACACCACACACTAAGTGAAATTCTTGGATCTTAGTGGCCTTATGGGATCGGATACAGCTCTTCGGCCATACCAGCTGGAACTTTGCTGCTTCACATCATCCTGCATTGGGAGGCCAGCCTCAACGCACGCACACACACGACTGTCGAGTCACAATGAAACACCTGAAGTGAGGCGACCGATTCAAATCTTTGGCATGAAGAAAGCCTCAAAAGCTTCACAAGGCTTCATCTGCCCATCTCTAACAGAACTTCACTGAATAAGACTTACCACTTCCAATATGCCCATGGACACAAAAGCCAAAAAATGCTAGAGAAAATCTGCAAAACAAACACTTGTTAAACACTTTTCTTTATAGGGGGAAAAAAAAACAAAGGACAGAAAAAACAAATTAAAATTAAACCTTAAGAGTTGGACAGTGGTACTCTCCATGTTCAACAAAAAAAAAGAAACAAAACAAAAAACCTTAACAAACCAACACAAAATCTGGAGACACATTTATCCCTCCCACAGCACATATTAGTGCTGTTGAACTGGACTTTTTATAATGCCTGCTACTGCCAATTGTCAGACAATCAGTTGTCACGGGAACATGTAATATACAGTTATTAGGTTCAGGTGTCACAGCCCTCATCACAGGAAAAGCTGACCTTCTATTTCAGACTTATTGAACTGATTTTGTCAAGCATATTTTTGTTTTACAGAATGAATGCATTCAATGAAAAAAAAGACGTTAGCATTATTTAAAATATATTTTTACCAGATTGAATTGCCTATATTACTAGATTTAATAAGACATGTCTATGAAAGAATAATTAATATAATATTCCTATGGAGAGAACTGTGTAGAGCTTCTCCAAACATTGAATATTAAACAACATATAATTAAAATTTGATAATGCTAAAAATCATAAGAAAAAATTAATCAGAACATATGGCTACTTTTAAATGGCTGTCATTAGAGAAAGATGCTTTTTGTCCCATAATAGTGAAGTTATGGCATTTTAGGAACTCTGGTCAAACGTTGTACTGTAAGAAATGAGGTAGCCTATGTAAATTATACATACCTTACACAACAACGTTCAACATTCGCTGTTTCCATATGCTTGTAGAAACCCTTTGAATAACTTGTATAGCTACTAAGCTATTTCAGTTTATGTTATTAATCATGTTAATTAATGTACATTAAGTATAGGGATATCTTCTTTTGCAGTAGTTTTAACTTAATTGGTTCAAGAATTTTTTTGTACATACTACAAGTAAATTACAATAGCGGATATTCTCCAAAATGACGCTACAGTGATGCGGAGAGACACAGAGGAGATGAATTGTTGAATAAAGTCGTTATTTTTGTTTTCTTCACGTACATAAAGTATTCTCATCACTTCATAAAGTTACGGTTGAACAACTGATGGCAGATGGACTATTCTGACGATGTCTTTCATACTTTTCTGGACCTTGACAGTGTAATTTACTTGACAGTCAATCCGACAGTCACAAGCCTCCCGGTTAGAGTTGCACAGTGGTACCCTCCATGTTCAACAAAAAAAAAAACACCTTAACAAAACCAATACAAAATAAGGAGACACATTTGTCCCCCCACAGAACATATTAGGGCTGTTGAACTGGACTTTTTATAGTGCCTGCTACTGCCAATTGTCAGACAATCAGTTGTCATGGGAACATGTAATATACAGTTATTAGATTCAGGTGTCACAGCCCTCGTCACAGGAAAAGCTGACCTTCTATTTTAGTCTTATTGAACTGATTTTGTCAAGCATATTTTTGTTTTACAGAATGAATGCATTCAATGAAAAAAAAGACGTTAGCATTATTTAAAATATATTTTTACCAGATTGAATTGCCTATATTACTAGATTTAATAAGACATGTCTATGAAAGAATAATTAATATAATATTCCTATGGAGAGAACTGTGTAGAGCTTCTCCAAACATTGAATATTAAACAACAGATAATGAAAATTTGATCATGCTAAAAATCATAAGAAAAAATTGGTTACACTTTACTTGAAGGGTTGTGCATAATCATGACATGACACCTTCATAATCATGACATGATACCTACATAATCATGACATGACACATGTCATGAATATGAAGGTACTCTAAGAAATGAGGTAGCCTATGTAAATTATACATACCTTATACAACAACATTCACTGTTTTCATATGTTTGTAGAAACCCTTTGAATAATTTGTAAAGCTACTAAGCTATTTCAGTTTATGTTATTAATCATGTTAATTAATGTACATTAAGTACAGGGATATCTTCTTTTGGATGTAGTTTTAACAAGTGGTTCAAGATTAATTTTGTACATACTACAAAAAAATAAAAATGCAGTTAGATCTTTGCATGTCTCGCTGGAGAAACCTCAAATGATTTCAATGAAATACAAAGACAGCCTCCAGAATCAAGGGACCTCAAACTCAAGGCTATGAAGAGAGAGCCAGCAGCATAAAATAATGTTATGAAATGATAAACATGTGAAATGAAATTTTGTAATCTGTATTCCTATTTAATGAATGTGGAAAACAGATGAACTACCATCATTTCACTTTGTAGCCTGCTCAGTGAGTTTGTTGTGTTTAATATATTCCCTCCAGTAAGATTCATGGTCTGCATGTTTTTCATTTTACTGCTAATTCAAATATTTGCTGCTAATTTAAATGCTTTTAAAATCCTGTGGGAGGAAATTGGGAGAAAAAAAGGGGGGGGGATCATGTTTTTATATTGTGTTTGGGTCTAGAAAAGGGGTCCTGCACGACTGCATAATACATGACACACCTCACGATGTAGTGCCAAATTGTGGCATTTAATGTATGCAATTAATATCTTTTATGGTCATTCATTTGTTTAATAGAAAAAAATTAAAGTGAAAATCACTTTAGAACTGCCACAATCTGTAATATGTATATTTATTAGTGCTGGGCAACGATTAAAATTTTTTATCACGATTAATCGCATGATTAATCAGGAGGTCACGGCCGTACAGGCGGCACAACTATAGTGACATGTCTATAATCCAGCCCACTCTAAAGCAGTACTAAACTGCAGTGGAAATGCAAACTGAACCGAGCCGTACCATGCAGTGGAAAAGCACCTATATTTTTGTATAACTTTGAATTCATCAACACAATGACTTGAATACACCTCCTCTATAATCAATGGATTTCTGAATAAAAGTTAATTTAGACATTTTGTGGCCATTACAAAAACTTCATCCCCAGGGCAATGTGTGGAGAAGAGCAAGGAGAGAAACCAGATTAGACAAATAAAGCCTACATTGAGTTTCAAGCACTGTCCACACTTGGGCTTCAGATTTTTATTGAAAATGATTTAAACTATTTTTTCGTACTTTCAATTAACCATACATTGTACATAAAATTGGGTTTATATGCACACCATGACAACTGGAGAAACACCCACTAGTGATGTCAGTGTACAATCAACCTGTAGAGGACACAGAAACTAGTTACCCATTAGTTTTGCATAACCAGCCTGCGATCACACCTTGAACCAAGCAGCTGTAAAAATGACAAGAGCTTTTAAAAGAATTTAAACCGATTACATAACCACAGAGAGAACACCAAAGAAAACCGAAGATGAGGTAAATGTGCCAACAATAGAACTTCACTGGTCAAAGATATTAAACTACCAGTAGACAAGAGTTTCTTCTACCCCCCCCAGAAGACACCATACATCTAACAAAATATTACTGCATCAGTAGACCACATTAAAGCCCTGGCAAATTTAGATAGCTGAAAAAGAACCCAGCAAACACAAACCAAGTTTGTTCATGTGACTTATTGTTTTGAGAGAGGAAAAAAAAAACCACACTAAATGAAGTTACATCAACTATGCAGCTATGACTTCACTTGCTGCAACATCCTCAACATGCCTGGTGCTAAGCGCTCGTTTTGAGTAGTCTGGGAGCGCAGTGGTGCTGTATCCTGAAGGTCAGGCTGCAACACGGACTCATAGCTTGAAGCAAGTTGTACATTACTGGGCTGCTCTAGGGGTTGGGAACCAAAACTGGAAAGAGACGCATAACTTGACTGCTCTGGCATAGGAGAGAGCTGGAATCCAGGCTGAAGAGACACAGATTGGCCACTGGGCTGGGACGCAGACTGGTAGTGAGCTTGTGCTGATTGGTAGCTGGTTTGTGATGACTGCAAGCCACTAGGTTGAGAGACAGGCTGGTATCGGGTCAGTCCTGGTTTTTGACCACTAGGTGGTTGCATTGACTGGTAGTTGGCTTGAGCCGACTGCAGGCCACTAGGTTGGGGCACAGACTGGTAGCGGATTTGTGCTGACTGCTGGCTACTGGGCTGAGAGACAGGCTGGTATCGGGTCAGTCCTGCTTTTTGGAGACTAGGTGGTTGCATAGACTGGTAGCTGGCTTGAACTGTCTGCAATCCACTAGGCTGTGAGATAGGCTGGTATTGGATCGGTCTTGGTTTTTGGCCACCAGGCCGGGGCACAGACTGGTAGCTGGTTTGTGCTGACTGCAGGCCACTGGGCTGAGAGACAGGCTGGTATCGGGTCAGTCCTGGTTTTTGGAGACTAGGCTGTTGCAGACTGGTAGCTGGCTTGTGCTGATTGCTGGCCACTGGACTGGGCCACAAATTGAGAGATAGCTTGTTCAGAACGTTGGCTGCTGGCTTGATATGACTGTTGGATGCTCGGCCATGGGTTGGTAGCCTGCCTGTGCTGGTTGCACACTGCTGGACTGAACTCTGGATTCATAATGTGACCCATGGCTGCCCTGCACTAACTGGTAATCAGGTAGGGAGGACGGATTTTGTCGCTGCACAGGCTTGAATATAAAACCAGAACTTGAAGTCTGGACTGGTACCAGAAAAGCACTCCGATCCAACTTGCGCAAGCCTACCTTTCTGGGATTTGATAAATGGCTGTTGGGCACTGGACTGGGAGCTGGTCTGCATTGGTTGCTGGCTACTAGACACTACAGACTCCCTACTAGTCTGCACAGGAGTTTGAGAACTGAGCTGTGCTGGCTGGGGTACAGACTCACGGTTTACACTTGTACCCAATGCAGTTGCCACAGAACTAGAAACAAGACGGCCACTACCAGCTAAAGATATCAGAGAACCTTGAAGTTGGTTTCTAGCACTGGAGACAGAACCAAACATATGAACACTTGTCACTGGACCAGAGCCAAAAGAGACTGTTTGAGGGCTATAGCTTTCACTGCTATATACACCCCTAACTGCAGCACTGTAAGGGATATTCTTGGATCTTAGAGGCTCGATGGAACCAGATGCATCTCCTTGGCCATACCAGCTGGAATTTTGTGGTTTCACAACATCCTGCAAAGGGGGACCAGCCTCATAGTATCCAGGATAACCTGCACTGCGGACAAAGCCATCAACTAAGGAGAAAGGGGGAAAAAAAATAAGTCAAAGGGACATGTTGATAAACTTGGATTACAGAACTTGACTGAATAAAGCTTACCACTTCCAATTTGACCATGGACACCGAGACTGAGAAAGGCTAAAGAAATTCTGTAAAACAAAAGACTTGTCTTTAGTATTTGATAGAAGAACCAAACAAAGATAAAACAAATAAATTGATTTAATATCATACCTTAAGAAATATATAATGGTGTCCTCCATAGCCAGCTAGAAATACACCAGTTCCCTACCTCAGCAACACCACTACAGACCCATAAAACACACATTAGACCCCAACACATATTAGTGTTACTGAACTGTTCCTTTATAGTGCCTGCACCTGCCATTTACCTGTTGTTTCCTGATAATCAGTTGTCATGGAAACGTGTAATATGCAATTATTAGGTTCAGGTGTTACAGCTACAATTGCACACCTTTAATTTTACAGAGAATTGAGTTGGGTTTCGTATGAGGATAATATTATATAGGCCCTATTTAAACCTTGGTATTAAGATCTGTCTCTGATAGGGGGAAACGATCACCAGTGGTCATGTGTTTACATGCGTCTCAAATGTATCTCCCATGATCACTTGTTTTTCAGGCTTCTAGTGAAGGGTCTGATTTTGTTATATATATGAGCACATTTATCATTCACATCACTGTTACTGTCTGTTGATAATTGTTCTTCTAAATGTACTTTAATTTTTTGTGCATGTGCATATAAATGTGCATTTCCAAATGTTTCGATTGGACGATTATTGTTGTTTAAAGCCACAAGTAATCTGCCAACTTTATAAGCTTTCTTTAGCAGTGCGTCCACACGGGATATATCGCCCTCCGAAGGGCACTTCGGAGTGAAAACAATCATGGTCGCCATATTGAAGGGTCGTTCCAAACCAAAGTGCTCAAAACTGGCCACTTCAAAGGGCCATTCAGAATGAAGGATTTCGAAGGGTACAACTGATGGACACTTCGGGCTCCCATGATCCTTTGCGCAGATTCTTTGCATGATGACGGCACCTCCGTGTGGGCACGTGATGATGACGCAGAAGGGCACTTCAAGAAACAGTTGTTTGGTCCCCTAAACCCTTCAACCCTTCGAAGCTCTCACTCCGGAGGGTAATCCCTTTGAAGGGATTAGGGCATAGGGACGAGCCCTTCCGAATGGAACGCAGGGAAGATCAGGGGATGATTAACAGGTAAGTAGGTGGTCCTTCGCTGATGTAGGGGGAGGAAATTAATATTCATGATAAAGACGACCATTCAGGTGGTCCCCCCTTATGAATATTCCCACAATTCTACAAATTCTTGTTCCAGCATTTTAGGATCTATAATTATTTCACTTTGCACTCTGTGTTTTTGCTTAATGGGCCATATTTATATTTACATTTCTGTGTAAATGTTTAATAAATCTATATGTATATAATTCACAATTCGTATTTGTTCTACTTAACTGAATGCAACAATTTGCCTAAGAAATTAGGCACTGAAATGTTATATACCATCTACACAAAAATATGTTATGTATGTACTGTATATGTATGTTTTAAAGACCAGTGTTTTAATTAAAGAAAAATCTCCAATAAGGTTAACTTTTTTTTTCAACTGTTAATTCTCAAATGTTTACAGAATCATGTGGTAAAAATTGCAAATGGCAAATTGAAATATTTAAAAATGTATATTTCAAAATTGTAATATTTAAAAATGTTTTTCAAACAATCATGACTTTTTTTTAAATGTAGTTATATATATGAATATTTTATATATTGTGATATATCTAATTCTATTGTGTATTACAGAGTTTGCACAATGCTGAATGGTCACCCACTTGGCTAATCAGGGGCGCCGCTAAGGGGGGTAAAGTTAGGACGAGTCTAAGAGCCCACGCACGTTTGGGGGCCCCCAGAGATCTGTTTTATTAGTAGTAGCCGAGACCGGGCCGGACGATTTGGTCAGTCACACTTTTAAACACATTTTGGTTTTGCTTTAGAAAATCTACAAATTCACACTCTGATTACATAGAGCAGCGGCAGGAAGCGCTTGAGGTTGTCATGGCAACCAGATACACTGCATGCGAATTAAGGCTGCGCTTGTATTTTGACACACTAAACTTAGCAATAAACACATTGAAAATAATACACAGTAAACATGTCTGCCAAAACGATCTCAAAGAAGGCTTTTATTAAGCAAATCAAGGAGTGAATTACTCATCCACTGTTTTAAAATTGTTTTAGTGTTCCTGTTGCTCAGTGGTAGAGCATTGCGTCAGCAGTGCAAAAGGCTGTGGGTTCCATTCCCAGGGAACACACATACTGGTAAAAATATATATAACCTGAATGTACGGTGCAGAGAAGTGCAAAACAAATCACAATTCTGAAAACAAAATAACAAATTGCAAATGCAAGTCTAAAAAACAAAATAACAATTCAGAAAACACAACAACAATTCAGAAAACTTTATAACTTTTAAGATTTGAAAAGGGAGAACAAAAAAGATCGGCAAAAGGCGGGATCAAACCCGGGTCGATCGCGTCAAAAAGCCAACAACAAGCACTTATCCATCTGCGCCACTGGAGCTGATGTTTTACAGCCACATTTAACTAAATGTACATATACACTCCGTATTTTTTATTCCATAGTAAGGGCAATTCATACAATACATTTAAACTGAGCTACTTTAATACCATCTCCGAACTTTCTACCACGACTCTGCTGTTCTTCGGCTGGTTCTTCCTGTATACATTGATTGACAGATGTCTCGTCCAGTCAGCGGTGAGTAATCCCAAACCAATGGCGCTGTCTCAAACTATACCTTCCTCTTCCGGTTTGTCTGATTTGTCGTTGTGTTTTCTGAGTTGTTAATTTGTTTTCGGATTTATCGTTGTGTTTTCTGACTTGTTTTGTTTTCGAATTTGTCATTGTGTTTTCTGACTTATGTTTTCTGAATTGTTGTTGTGCTTTCTGAATTGTTTTGTTTTTAAGACTTGCATTTGTGTTTGTAATTTATTTTGTTTTCAGAATTGTGATTTGCTTTGCACTTCTCTGCCACCATAGCCCAACCCTATTTTTCAAGTCTTTTATATGAATGATACAGTGGTAATTGACATAGCATTAATTACAGTACAGAAGCTATAAAATATATGTTCTGCCTTATTCTGTGATAAAAATGGAAAACGTGTTTGTAGTATATAAACTATTATACTGATTATACAATCATAACCAAAAATTGTCATTAGTAAAATATATCAAAAATATTATAGAAGACAAATGATTCGTTATTGTCCAGCAGTGTATTTTATTTCTTAGCCAAATAAAAGAGATAAGAAAGTTTTTTTGTCAATTAGACATACATACATAAATATTATTAGGCCTATTATTATTATTATTATTATTATTATTATTACATTGTTTTGTTAAATCTTGAGTATTAAAGTCATGAGAGAGATAGATATCAGGGCAAAATAAAGAGACTGAAAAGAAAAATGGAAGTGAAGGTGAGAGAACTTTTAATTATTTTGCATGTCCCCAACCTAAGGATTTAAACCTTTTTTATGTGAGGTCCATACAAAAAATATGGTTGTCCAGGTTTCAGAATTTGTTGTGGGTGTATATGAGTGTGAGATTTCCCGGCCTGACATTTTTCTCCCAGTCCGCCCCTCATGGAAATTAATGGTGCAGACATGCGGTTTCATTTACTACACACAGGCCTACTGAAGCTTGCAGTGTTTTCAGCCTCTGCCGCCTCGATATATGAGTATATGAACACATAAACAATCTCTAGAACTGCTCTGAGTAACTTCATGAGCATTTTACTTATTTTGAGAAAACTATCATCATATATACAAAGAGACACCAATGTTTCAGGAGTTTAGTACACAGAATAGGGCACATGCTTATTAGATAACCGTATTTGAGTTGATGTATATGCTTTTATTTATTATTATTTT